TATGTGACATTTCTTTAGATAACGAATGTAGCGTGTCTCGAAAGATGCATTTCTCAACAATATGTATTATAACTACGGAAAGAAAAGACGTATTCGCTATCGTATAAAAATGTACTATTTGAAAGTTTTATAACATTTCAAAATTATTGTTTTACGATGTCTGAAGGGAAAGACCAATCATCAAACCATACTAAACATTGAGAATTACAATAAATATTGAGAATTACAATAAAAATTGTTTATTTATATTTGCTTTATTTTGTATTCCTGTTATTGACCATTGTTGTTCATATTATGACTTGTAAAAATATAAAGAATTAACCATTATAGGCAAAAACCATAATCTTATACGAGGTACGCTGACTGTGTAGTTGCTCAACGACTCGCCGTTGAATTTTAATAGTGATGAAGTCTGCAATAAGAAGATTTTTTATAAAAGTGAAAAATCCATTTAATATTAATATTGTTCAGTTTCTAAGGAAAGAGAATTATTCTCAGTCATCATGTAATGCCACAAATATTAAAAAACAATCTAGCGATGTTTTTAAACCTAACCGCTTTATATCCGAGAATAAATATGAAGATTCAAAAAAAATTAACTTCACTGGATATACTTTGTTGGTAAGTAAAAAAATGTGAAATATATACTTCTTTATTTAAAAAATCTATCAAAATACTAATAAGTGTTATTAATAGCTTTTGCTAATTTAGGGTATACCTATTGCTGCATTTATGCTTGGTACATGGCAAGTTCATAGATATCAATGGAAATTAAATTTAATAGAAAAATTAAACAGTCATATCAATCATGAGCCTATTGAATTACCAGAAAAGTAAGAAAAATAAATTTAAGCAATCATTACCATTATACAATTATATAGGACAATGAGCAATTTTTGTTTAGTTTAGAAGCATTGGAGTCAAAAGAGTATTATCCTATTAAAGTAAGAGGCGAATTTATATATGAGAAAGAATTTATAGTAGGATATAGAGGATTAATAGTAGATGGTAAATCTGCAGACAATACTTTAATTGGTATTCCAAATGCAAAAATGGGATTCCATATTATAACACCCTTTAAATTGGCAAATCAAGAGTAAGTAGATTTGTTGATGAACAAGTTATAATAAAATATGTACTAAATAAAAGTATTCAAATCTCTATTTTCTATTTTACAGTTTGACAATCTTGGTAAATCGTGGCTGGATTCCAAGATTTCATAAAAATCCAGTAAAAAGACAGAAAAATCAAATACAAGGGCAAACAGAAATTGTAGGAATTTTAAGACTGAATGAAAACAGACCTCCATTTGTCCCTAAAAATCGCCCACACGCCGATACGTGGTACTATAGGTACATGAAAATATTAATATGCAATTTTATCAAATTTTAATTTAGTTAGTATTTTAGGTGACACAAAAATTGCACTTATTTATTTTACAGAGATGTGTATGCAATGGCTGAAAAAGTAGACGCATCCCCTATATACATTGAATTGAAATCTAATAATCATTTGCAAGAATATCCAAAAGCTAATCAAACAAGAGTGGAATTACGAAATGAGCATCTGAGTTATATTCTTACATGGTATTGTCTGTCTGCAGCTACTGGGTACATGTGGTTCAAGAAATTTATAAGAGGAATACCATTAATATTGTAAAAATAAGTTAGCAGTGCATAAGCATTTAAAGATATAAAATAGTAACTATCGGAAAATTAGTATATACAGGATATTTCCTTTACCCTAATGAGATACTTATTGGAATTTATATAGAACTTATTTCAAAGATTTAAGGCTTTCACGACACGGAGTATAATTATTATTATTGAGACTTTCGGGTGTTAGCCGCGTCCTTGTGGAAAGAGTATTCCAACGAACCCTGATGAAGTGAGCTGCAATGCTTACGAAACGTCGGAATACTCTTTCCATAAGGGCGCGGCTTACACTCGAAAGCTTCAATAATAATAAGATTTATTTCTGTTTTACCTTCTCAATCACATACTATATGATCACAAATTTGTATGTGTCTGTATACATATATGTAAATAAAAATCGTACACTATTACACGTTTAATATTTTTACGATTATAAATCTTAATACCATACATAACTTAATACTAATAATCTAGTGAATTAAATAAGCGGGTGCTATACTCCTAGAATTTTTTATTTTATAATGTAACAAAGTAAACATTCTATACTAATAAGAGAATATCGATTCTTCATCAAAAATGTCGTCTTTTATTATCATAACAATAACAGTGATAACCACTACCAACAAAACTGTCAACAATGGTCATGGTATACAATTACATTGAAGAAGTCAGCATAGAAAATACAAATATGAAAATATACGATACAAATATGAAAATACACCATGTATATGCTATATCGACTTTTCTTTCTTTTTATTATGTATGTATTTATTATAATATAATGAAATTAAGCGACAATATCACTTTCGCAGGATCCGCGAGAAATCGTCAAAACGATAACTGCGACAAAGGGACGTCTTTATTCAACTTTCCAAATTGTTATGCCTATACGAAATTCCATGATTAACGTTCATGCATCATGATAACAATATAGAATTGATCATGGCACCCTCTTAACATTTTCAAATACGAAAAGGGGCACTATATTTATTATTTAGGAGATACGTATATTACATTTCAACATAGTATCAAACGTAGTAATTCTTAATCTTTTTTTTCATTTCAATCCGCAATAATGAACTCCCATTTAAGCGAAGAATTTTGTAAATTGTATAATATCGTGTTTATACCACATTGCGGCATTTTAATTTAACAATATATACATCCTTGAATGTATCCAAATAATAAAAGAGACACAAAAGATTAGGTGTATGTGACTTAACAATATTTTGCACGATTATCGCGTTCACTTTCAAAAATCATTATACTTCTAATTATCGAAATCCTAACTCGATAACGTCTCAAATTCACCGAAGTGAGAACGAACAAGTGACTCGTCGTTTATAAGCTGCTCGCAAAATTTGTATTGAGGAATGCAACATTCAGTAAAAAATGTATCAAGTTCATTCAAAATCTAATAATATACATATTCATATTTGGTATACATATTTTTTTGTTTCTGTTTCCTTTTCTAACGAGCACCAGAATGATTGAAAGCAACGACAGTTAATAAATTGTACTAATTCCGCAACGCGTATTAATTACGAAATTAACGTAAAATAATACGATAAATGATATTTTCTTTATTGTCGCGATTGCCACAATTAAATATAGGTAGACATAAGAAACATTAATGCTACGTGCATGGGAAACATTCTAAAAGTAATCTGTTCTACATATTTAGACATATACGTAATTATAGCGATCCTATTGTACTGTTTAAAAATACCAAATACAAAGTACAGATCGCTCGATTCGCAACAACTTTCCTGAAATACATTATTCAGCCAAAAAGAAGAATTATTTCTATCAAACGTCTGGTTTGTTTTTATTTTCTCTCTGTTCACTATCTGATATTACATGAAACCTTTAAACTTCCATCTCCTACCAATTTTACCTATATGTTGATTTGAGATCAACACAAGTGGATCAGTAACACGGAACGACCATATTCATTTTTCTTTCTACCTAACACACGGGTTCCCTTTACAAGGTCTTCTAGTTATACATACTATATAATCGATGATCCTTGAACGATCTCGTCCTGTTTCTCAAGTATACACTTTCCGCCCGAGTTCAGATCTCTCTAGTTTTCCCCCTAACCTCTCTTCATGCCATTAATAATAATGAATTGTACCAAGCAGGTTTTATCATTTTCACGGAATACGTTCAACGAAGATACAACCCAGATATTGCACTACGAAAATTCTCGTCCAATTGCTCCTTTCCACCGCGATTATCCTAGAGAATAGATACTGTTCTACTCGTTCAGGATGCACGTACGTACTAAAGCGTCGCACACCGCGTAAGGATCGCAGTTGCTGCTAGGCCTTCTATCTTCTAAATAACCTTTCTTTTCTTCAGCGACACCGCGAGGTATACGAATACTGACGTTACGGTTGGCTACACCGGCACTGAAATCGTGTATGCTACTAGTTTCGCATTTTCCAGTCAGACGGCGCTCATTGTCCTTTCCTCCGCGCGGATCATACGCTTGAATGTGCCTGAGGTGTTGCTTGCTCAGCTTGTCGATCGCTTTCTCGATCTCAGCAATGCCAGTCGGCGCAGTGCGCATTGCTTTCGTTGAGAAGTTTGTGTGCGCGCCAGCACCATTCCACGTGCCGTCCATCGGTTTCGGGTCCAGAGTGACAATCACACCATATTCTTCAGCCACGCGATGTAGAATAAACCTAGCAATCCATAGATCGTCGCCGGCTGATATTCCGCTGCATGGACCGACTTGAAATTCCCACTGAGAGGGCATTACTTCCGCATTCGTACCAGCGATCTTCACGCCAGCATAAAGGCAAGCTCGATAATGTGCCTCGACGATCTCGCGACCGATTACTTTGTCGGCACCTACGCCACAATAGTACGGTCCTTGAGGACCCGGGAAACCATTTTTAGGCCAACCTAGCGGTCTACCATCGAAATCGAGAAAGGTGTACTCTTGCTCGATTCCAAACCACGGATCTTGATCCTTGACGGCTTCCATAGCTTCGTTACATTTTAAACGCTTATTCGACGTGGTTGGAGTTAGATCGCTGTAATAGGTGTCACAGAGCACCAGTTTATTCTGGCCACGACGAAACGGGTCGTTGTAGATCGCTACCGGGCAAAGGTAAATGTCGCTGTTCACGCCGTCGGCTTGATAAGTCGAGCTTCCGTCATACGTCCATACTGGCAAATCTGGAAACGAGAAATAAGTATCTATTAAGCAAACATTTTTCAAGTTATATACATCTTGCACTCGTAGGACCTTGTATTTTTATCTTTTCATTATGAGTAACGTACATAGTCATCAATGACGAATAACAAATAGTATTTAAACGATACTAAAAGAATTTTGTTTCGTTAAAAAAAAATTACTTAACAAAAGATCAAGTGACCTCCGCCGTAGTCTTAAAAATCACTGAAGAACATAAATAGAAATTCTTTTTCCAATATAATTTATAAATGTAAGGTACGTTTTATTATCAATACGGTCGGTGCATAATGTAAAAACATTTCAACTTTCGGGCATAATCAATTCTGTGCGAGTATCACTCTTAATCGCTGGCATTCAAACGTGTCCCCGTGCATTCTACGCGGTGCAGATGTTAATGGTTCCGTAACGCACGCAGAATCTCATGAATACAGACAAACGCTATTCACAGTGCGGACAAACGTCCGGAGCTGATACATATGCGCCAAGCGTAGAAGAACGAGTATTTTGCGCACCGGACCTTATATGCTATTAACATTCGACAAACATCGTCCGTGATGCTCGAATTGTACATGTGTAAGTCGAAAATCGTGCATACGAGAAAAAGGACATAAGATGAACGTTTCGAAAGGCAATGTTGCTCTGTAGCATGCAAAACGACGGACGTAATAATTGTCGAACGAAGTTTACAAACGTAAATTTCTATCGTGACATAATGTTGAACGTGATTAGATAATATGTCGGTTGCACGTAAGATAGTACGATGTTTTTGTAACGGTTGACTTGTTTTAAGACGTATTTCGGTTAATCAGATACCATTAACTGCAACACGTGTCACAGAACACGTGATTCACATGTCACAGAAGTGTTTACATCTACTTGAAAGAGCGGCTCGATTTTGTCGTAAATTTGAAAACATTTTATTTCCGTTTCAACGCCACTATTTAACGTTAAATTTATTTTCGACAACAAGTGAATACCAACCTGACGGAACTTTTGGTACAAAATCAACCGTCCTGGTCTTGCTTCGCAATCCTTCGCCGGTTCCATCGATCCAAATATATTTCGCTTGAATTTTATCCTCCGGTTGTGGTAGGTCGAGGTACCTATTTAATAAGGTCTTGTCTAAGGCCGCGTTCGGCGACTCCTTCAGCATGACACGCGACATTGTAATACTGTAACACAATATAGATAATATCAATAAATATGTATATCCGTTTCCTATGACGAAATATAATGCGCTTATATTACACAATACATATGTACTTCAAACATTATGTTCGCCAACTCAATCGAGGAAAAGTGGTTTATGAAATGACTAAAGCAACTTTAAGTTGCGTCTGTGATGATAATTTGGTAATTATTCACCATTTCGATGTTTGCTGCGTTCTTTCGGTAATTTATTGGAGAATATCGATTGGCGAATAAAAAAAGTGGATTGTGGTACCGCCTGTTGATACGAATGGGTATATGTACGAGGATCCATTTGCACGTATCAGGTGCAGCGGTACGCGGACATAAAAGATTCCCTGGATTTATTCTTGGTGGTATAGAACGAGAGGTGCGCCCACGTATCACGCTGTACGCATCAGGCATCACGCAGCACGCACGCGGGAACCACGTGTAATCTCCGGGAGTATTCGCGCATGCTGCCAGTCGCCCACAGACAACGCGTTCGAACGATGTTCCTAAGGTCTTTCACCGATATCATAACCCTATATACACGTGCAAATATTTCGGACGTTCTGAAGGTCATTCCTTGATTATTTTTGGAAGTTTTTCGTTTCTTTCTTCCCGTATGATGCACGCGGTTAGTGATCTTTAAGCATAAAGAGTGTATGCATACCAAAAAGTTCTTCTAGTTTTTGCTAGTGTTGTACTTGTACATACTCTTTGGAATATACCGCAATTAATTCATCGTGTTTTACAATTGACGAATACACGAAAGTAGCTTGGAAATATAATTCAAAGGATATTAATATTGGATTTATGAATAAGTTTTATTTTTCATTTTGTGTTGTAGTATTCGTCGTCAAAAGTCTATTTCACGTTTATATAATATGTATGTACGCATAACGTTAAAGTAAAAAATGAAAATATTAGCACTCTTGAAGGTTAGGAGATGCAATTCCAGTAATGAATAATGAAAAGATAAAAGTCGATATTTCAATGATGGCATCACTTAACAGTGAAATTCAAATTTTTGGCTTAAATAGAGTGTGTTAGGTAATTAATTAGGTACAAATGAAAGTCTGATGAATGTGTTAATTTTGTAAATTATTCAGGTAAATTTACAAAAAGCATAGAACTTATTCGTGGCGTACCAATGGAAAATTTCCTGCGACTGTACTTGTTTTTAAATTCGAAAATTACGTCTCTCCCTTGCACGCACTCATGGGAACAGTTTTTCTGTTGCAATTATGCAATTGTCTTTAATCAACATTAACTGTACGTGGGTTCCTTGTTACGATTTAATGGTTTGTCTCTCAAACAGTAACCGCTTTAATTCGTAACCATGTGAATCGATTCGTGAAAAGATACGTTTGCATCTGTATGTAAAAATGGAAATTTTGAAAATTCTTCAAATACAGAATACTTCTTCCGTCAGAATAAATGTTTTATATTATAAACAGTGCATGATATACATTTTTTTATACTTTTTATGTGATTTGATAGAAGCAACCAGTTAGTTATATCGTGTACTTCTATTACATTTCCGAATCTTCATTGTTTATACAAATATTCCACTACTTACTGATTAATATTTAAACAGGTGTGTTTTGTTAAAGATGATGTATTTGTGTATTTTGTTTTTGATTTTTTTCTTAGCTGATTGTATAAAATTAACAGACATTTATCAATCAAAAGAGAAAGTTTATCGACCAGTTTATACATTCATTCGAATTCATTTATTTTTTAAATTAAATTAATATGTTAATTGCCAATCATAAATTAGCATTGTCTATTGCGATTTATAAATTATTTTACATATAATTTAACAAATTATTGTTGTACATATTTCATCATGGTTCAATAGATCATTATTAAAAAGAAACAGATGAATCAAAAATCTATCTGAAAATATGAATTTGATGTAAAATTATTAGAAAAAGAAAAATACACTATTTGCTACAAAAAAATCCGTAAACGTTAAAAAACCAATTCTCAACAAAAATAATTACTGATCTTCAGTCGATATTACATCATGACGTTTAGATCTGACTGCAACAGTTACAAAATCGCATTAAAGACACCATTTCGTAAAGAATCTCGTTCACCTGTAGTATGTACTTAAAATGTACATTGTGAAACACACCACGTAATTTACCGGTTTCACGTCAACCGCCATTTATAGCAAACATGTCGCTGCTGTATTCATAAGATTCCCGATAAATCGAATTGCATCTTTCGATCTTAAGAGAAAATCGATGTTGTTCTATGAAATTTGATCGATCTGTTCGACTGTTGCTTCGCTAAACTTTCATTAGATACGATACACGGTTTCCATATTGTGTGGTTAAAGTGATCGAAATATATAATTAATTTCGCTATTCGTTATCGTCGCAGATAATCCATTAGAGGCTTTAGCAGATACATATGTAAGTACAGTACTTCGTGTAACATTCCAAAGTACACAATGATATTTTTTCCCCCGTGGAATAGTATCGTTCATCTACATTTCTGTAATTTTTTGATGGATCAAAAGCGACCTTTCGATAATCGGCCGTGATAATTAGGTAGAGAGAGTGCGAACAATGTTTGCTAACAGCCTTTTCTAATTTATCATCTTCTTTACTGATTGGTAAGGTTAAAGTATATTAAATTGTCCGTTGTCTAAAGAGGTACTCTAGTTTGATTAGAAGAAGTTTATTATTTTATAATATTTTCGACAGATACAGGAATTATTTAAATCAATATTGATATAAATGTTTAATTTTTAATCTTGAATGTTTTCTGTATTCAAACAATTGAATTTATCACTTATTTTGTGTTGCATCAATTTACATTACAATAATGTGGAATCATTTTTGTAAAACAGTCGGTAATATATCGGTTAAGTACGGTTACAACGTTACTAACCTAAAACATCTGCCGGCAGTGACCCATTTCGATTTCTGACCAATAGCAATATTTTGCAGTATCTTCTTCCCGCACAACTTTATCAATATGTTCGAACTCATTTTTGATCAACGTCGATCAAATAATCAGTTTACGTTCGTCAACTTTTCTTTTGTGATAACTGATTGTCGTCCGACTTGTTTGCAGAGAACGCACCTCTGATTCTTAATAGAAGAGGCACAATAAGCGATACAAAAAAGGAGCGAATAACGAGTACTTCTTAGCTATACTTTTATGAAAGTGAAGGATTTAATGTTAAAGAAAACGGGAAAAGATCAAAAATAACCGAAAAAAACTAGGAAAGTACGAAAGATCAATGCACTCTTCACTGGCCCACTAGCATAAACTGTGCCAGGTATCATTTATATACATAGCTACCCCTTCCATTGAATTTCAGTAAGAATACCGGTTTCATCTTATTTCGGATAAATTTTAAATTCATCCTCTCCCGTAACCGATTCTTTGTACTCTAGTTTGTATTGTATAAATTATCTAGTTCATCTATGAACACATCTTATAATATTATTTTTATTTTGTTTTCTTGAAAACAAGTAATTACATATTATAATACAACTGACTAACTGTCGAATAACGATACACTTGCTTCGAGATCAATCGAGATGTATCGACATAACCCAATACATCGTGCGGCGTACACAGTCGTACAATGTACCAATGATATATACATATCGATTTCAACTCGTAATTAACGTAATTGGAATACTTAACTTTTCATAATCTCTTGCGAAACGATGTTTATTACAATATTTCAATTATTTTAGAGGTAAAACCGAGAAGTCAAGTATAAACGAAAATAATTTTAGTTATTATTTTAAACGATCAGATATTTGTCCTTTGAAAATAATATTGATGTGTTATGAATCTACATGATTCGTGCGACACGAGTGAAGGTAACCACAAAGTGACCTTTGTAAAGTCAGCTATTACATAGTACGGAGGATGTATTAATTAATACAGTAATCAAATTGAGGTTAGTCAAATTGATACTTGAAAATATATGACGTTTATAATTGTCGAGATTAATCTGGCTGTGCATATTGAAAACCAGTCATCGATCATTTAGAAATTATTTTCGGTAAACTATTTTAAAAATTTCGAACATTCTATTTATAATTGTTAATTTGTGTCGGTTAATCTTCCACATTCCTAATCGTTCTTTATTTATTTACCGAAAAGTTAAAAATAAAATGCTTTGCTTTTTTTCTGTAAGATGTTCACAGTTATCGTTATTTGAGAACGTTGCAACCTTGAACGAGATAAGTAATCGAGAACATATTAATGGATATCTATTTCTTTACGATTTTCTTGTATTCTACAGTTCCGTAAACGCATACATACAATTCCTTACAATACCCTTTTGTTCGAGGGCTTATCAGAGAAAAGTACTTAACCTTATTTGTGTCTGCTTACAGAAATTCTAATGCTTTTTTCCATATTTTTATATAAGGATAAAACGTTATTTGTACAGTATCCCGCTGTATTGATATTATCCGTAGTAAATATTTGTTCTTTCAATAAAAAGAAAGAATGTAAGAAAAACGAATAGTCGAGGTATGATATTACATAACTTTTTAAACAAACGATATCGTTAAGTGTATCGTGTATATTAATTAACGCAATTATGAAGTTACTTTTTGTCTATGCAATCCTGAGATGTGAAAGAAAAAATTTCTTTTTCATTTATCTTCGTTTGTTAACTGATGTATTTGTAATTCTAAACGTCACGGTTGTTTTTTATTAACTGTTTTTATCGAACACAGGGTGTGTAAATATCCGATTGAGGTCCGACATATGCATTAATACATACACATAAATGCTCGACGAAAGTGGCGCCCCAATGCATACACGTATGAATTGTTGTCAAAAGAAACTGCTATGGAGCTGAACACTTATAATGCAGAAAGACGGTCATTAATAGTCGTTGGATGCAAGATTTTGTCAAGAGGACCGTTGAAACATCGGATTCGTGTCCTGTTGCATGCAACACGTAAGGTTATGAATTATTAGTTCGCAAGATATTATGCTAAAGTGCTCC